TCTCCGAGGCATCATGGCATTGTTGTATTTAGATCTCTGTTAACTGTTTGTGAAGAGCAGCCAAGGGTGATTCAGGCTCTTCTTGGTGGTTTTTTGTTGTTGGCCTGTTGGCGGAAAAGGAGGAAGTAGCTCTCGCTCAGTAAGTGAAGTTGCAGGAGGTGCGGGTATAGTTGTGTCTTATGGGGACTGTTGCTGTTTCCCATTCAGTTAGACAAAAATTACAATTGAATAACCATCAAAAAGCTAAAAGCACATGGACAAAAACACACCATGTAATCACACAGGAACAGGAACCCAAAAAAAAATAATAATAAAAGGTAAAAAGAAGAAGAAAACCTGCAGTATCTGGGGATAGGGCACTTAGAGAAAAAAGGTAGAGAAGGAGAATAATAAAGAAAAATAAATGGGAAAAATGCAAAAAGAAAAACCAGGAATGGGGTTTACCATGAGAAAAAAGGGAGAAAAAATTAAATTAAAAAAAAAAATTTTTTTTCAACCAGGAACAGGGAAAAGAAAAAAAGCTGAAAACTAGTACCTGGGAGGGGAAGATTGCGAATAATAGTAAAAAGGACAAAAGTATTAATAATAATAGTTGTTTTAAAGCAGACAAATACAAGCAAACCAATCACCAGGAAAGAGAAAGCAAAAAAGAAAAAATAAAAAGAGGAAAAAAAATTGGTGGAGGACAGGGCAGGGCACCCAGGCTCTGTCTGAGTACACAGATTGTGATGGAGTTCCTGTGGGCCCAGAAGGTAGGTGGGAGTGTGGGATGGCCACACCTCCTATTACCAAACAGGTGTGCGGTATAAGAATAACAAGAGGAATGCCGTACCTTTTCAGTCTTGTAGAACCTTGGGGTTGCTAGAAAGCAGAACCTCTTCTTAAGCCCCTGGAGTCTCGGAGAGTGCTGTCTCTTTAAATATACAAAATGGTCAAGCTGCTTGTAACATTCAAAATGGTGGTGCCCACCGGACCGGCAAAAGTCCATAGCTCAGCCTGCCTTTCTCTTCACCTTCTCTGTTTATTCCCCAGCTACCAGAGCAGTCCTCTGTGCAGTCCCTGGCTAGCAGGGCTGATTTTTAAGTTAATTCTTAGGTCCTCCCACCACTTGGGAATCTCCAAGCTGTCTGTGCCATCAGGATTGCTCAGGATCGCTGCCAGACCGCAGCTCCGTATGTCTCCTTTTTAGTATTTTCATGCAAATTCTTCTGCTAGTTGGGGTTTAGTCCACTCTTATATCCTTCCCTTCAAGGCTCAGGGGTCCAGGATTATCTTCTGTGTCTTTGTTAATTGGTTTCCCTTTTGTTTGTTGAAGAGGGTCTGTGTAGTCTTTCTGCCTAGTCCGCTATCTTACAGAACTCCCCCTCTCCTTGTCTTTTTTTTTTTAGGAATTTGTTTTACATTCAATGTTATGTATACATTTAGTTTCACTCCCCATTTATCATGCCCAACCCTAACCTAGTCTCCTCCCCTCCCTGCCCAGTAACCCT